TAGCTTCTCCTGCTAACAGGCAAACTGCTGCATGATATTCAGTATGTGGTTTATTTTCATGTAATGAACTGTTTTCTTACCTGATCCTTGTCAGAAGTCATATCAACAGCATGGTAACATCACTGGGGTAGCTAGAGTTTTCTTCAAAATACTTTCAGTATCAGCAGGCCTGAAAGAGGTAGTATTTGGTACAGACCTCAGTGTCTTCCAGAACATTATTCTCGTTTAGGTAGTTTGGGAAGTCAGAAGTGCTGTATGATGGGCATCATTACAAAGGCTGCTTTGGGCTCACAGAATTTGCACCAAAACAGGTCTTTTATTCTCTAGTAGGAATGAATTATTCTACAGGGGAAAAGAGTTATGATCAGATCAGATCTTTGTCTTTTGGATTCAGCTTTGTCAGATCAGAAGTGATATTTTGTGATCAAAAAATGATGGTACATTGCATGGCAGGAGGACATCTTTGGTTTACTAAATCAGAATCAGTTCCTGTATTTAAACCTTTTTTTACAAAGACACTGGGGTTTTTTGGCAAATGTATTGATTCTTAAAACTCGTGTTTGGTGTGCAGGCATATGAAATTCAATTATTTCAGGTGTTTTCATGATCCAAGTACAGTTCTAGAACACACTGAGGAAGACCTGGTGTCCAGCACTGACTGGTGCCCATCCTGAGTCTTTGGCTTCCAGTTCTGTTCTCATAAAAAATGAATTTCGCAGTTCAGGCTGTTTTTCCCTAACAGATATTCTGTAACTGCTGTACTGTTATGCAGTCTGACAATAATGATCAGTGTGTGTGGTTTCTTTTGCAGGTTTTTTTATAGTAACTATCTGCAGTTTTTTACTTATTCAGAGTTTAATCCTTTTTTTTTTCCTGTAATGAATAATCTATTAGGTATGAGTAGTGTCTTGCAGTAATGGATCCTGCCATTTTGTTTAATGGATACTGTGAAATCTCCAGTCTCATTTAAATTCAAATCACTATGTGTTTTATAAAAAATGAAATAATGAATGCATGTGAAGGTGCTATGCTTTGGATGTTTATTTATACAGTAGGTTTTTAGTATTTCATACAGCCTTTATATCAAAGCTTCTCCCAACTGCTGTTTCAGAAACCAGAGATTAGATGGATGCATTTAACTGACCTGAGGAATACTGTAAAGAGGGCTATCAAAAATGAGGCCTGCCAGGATACCATTCTTTTCTCAGAGTTTAAGGGGGGAAAGAAAGGGGGGTGGGAAGGCGTTGCGAGCAACTTGACAGTATTACTTCAGAAAAACATCTGAAATGAATAAATTAATTTTCAGTGCACATCTCTAAGATTCTTTTTATGTTTAAGATCAAAAGCAAGAGCAAAATAAATTGCCTGTTTGTCATTTTAGTATTATTGCATTGACTGGTTCAGATTTCCCTCTTATGCAAACTAACAAAAGAGAGTGGAATACAGTTGAGTGAACAAAAAAGTACTACTGAAGGAAAAAACCAACATCAGTTAGACTTCTTTTAATACACAGCAGTGGCCTGCTTGTTTTGTTGTTCAAGATGTAACATACTGTAACACAACAATATCAAGAATTAATACTAGCACTGGAAATGCCTGAAAACTGAAGTCAGGGCAAAATTTTCACTGTGAGGTATCTAAAGCAGATACTAAATTATAGCAGAAGCTGCTGCTTGAGCAGCCAGATCCACAAGGGCACTTCAACACTGAACACCTGTCTGGTGCAATTAGGATCTGAATAATATACATATGCTAAAAGAGGGAATTTGGATGAGCAGTACCCATAAACATCAGCTTGTTTAGGCAGAATTTGCCTCCCACAGCCAACAGGACATGAGAGTTTTTAAATCACATCATCACTGGTCTCAGGTATTATATTTGCACTGCTTACAACTCACGCTTACTTCAGTTCCATACCAAAATACCTTTCTGAGTGTAGGCAGTTAGCAGGAGTTAAACTAAAGTGTGGTGAAGTTTCAGTGTTTGCCTCGGAAGAAGAGAATTATGGGCCAGATTTCTACCTGGTGCCTGCTGTCTAGGATGGATTCCTCAAAACCTTCCCTTGGATTCTCAGACTAAGTAAAATCGCTTTATTATTTTTTTATTTGTTTATCCTCTGTCCTTCTGATTATACTGAAACTGTATGTCAGGCTGTGATTTAAATATATGATGACAGGAAGTCTTGGCTTCTGTACCTGTTTTAATTGGAAAGGCTAGATGCTTGGGATGGTTGCAGTAAAAGCAGAGTACTGAAGGGGGAAGACAGGAACCTGAACTCCTTTGCACCTGAGTCAGAGCAAGCTCTCATGCTGACTTGGTTCCACCTGGCAGTGACCATGTACAATATAACTTCACTTTCTGTTTTCCACCTTGGGCTATTTGAGACTGGTTTGGATTTGGAGTTTGAATTATGAAAGCCTGTGTAGCTTTTACCAGGCACACACCAGAATAATTTATATTTTGCTTTCCAAGCTGCTTAATTATTAACTGTGCTTTAAGCCTAGTTTATATATTTTATACCAATCTTCACTCGCTCCCCCAAAAGCAAAGGAGTGATGTAGCCAACTGTCTGTCTTAAGGCAGTCACCTACCTGCCTTTTCATTCAGTCACTGTGAAAGACGTCTCACTCTACTGCAGGAGAAAGGGTGGAGGTTTTTATGGCTAGAGAAACAGAATTTCCTTGTGAAGTTCAGTGAGTTCCTAATCACACCTCTCTGCCTTTAAATTGCCTCCACTCTTTTCCAGAATTTAAGTTGTCTGAAAGAACTATCAGTTGTTGCTAGCTTTTACTTATTCTTTTTTAAATATCATTTAAGGTTATAGTATCTCACAAAGTACTCATTTTCTGGTCTACCACTGGAACAGGACTAGGATGTGTTACCTTTTGTGTTAAGCATGGAACTGCAGATTGCTGGACTATATATATTAACTTAGTATATTTTTCAGATGCTTTATGAAGTACTATCAAAGCATCATTATGATTAAGGAGCACATGACCTATTGTATTTTAATAGAGAAATTACACCTAAACCCTTTAGGTGTGTTTGAAAATCACTGAAGTGTCATTCATAGTATAGTAAATAAACAGCAGATCTAAACACCTTCTGTAACAAAGTATAAAATTAATTTACATGTTTTGCACTTGATGATAAACAACAGAATTACCAGTAATTTCAGCCATCTGGTGCTGTAATTTTTCTGTTTTGCCACAGAATGAAATAACATTGGAATAGTCTGAAATACAAGGGTCTTAAGACTGAGCATGCCAAAAATTAATCCCAAAACCTGTTTGTAAAATTAGCTATTTAAACTAACTCCACATTTTCATTCAAAATAAAATACATACCATTGAAATTAGCAAAAAAGCTGATGAATATTTTTTGCAAAACTATGCATGTGTGTTCACATGACTATGCAGTTCAGCTGGATCTATCACCAGTGCCTGGAATGGCTGGATGGACAAAGGTGCTGGAATAACCTGGACATGTCTGGGATAGCATGTTCTCTCTCAGGCAGAAGCTGTCAACTCTATTGTGAATGGTTTTACAAAGTTTGGCAGGAAAGATAAGTACTTAGCATCAAAATTACTACTTTTTTCCTTTTTTGACTCTAGTTTTAACAAGGTTTTATTTTGTCGTAATAAAAGCATTTGATAAAAATTTATAAAACATCAAATGGGAGGGCAGGGGGAATAATCTATTTGGTACCATGACTTTGACATGTAAAGACAATCAGAAAGGCCATTCAGATTAGTGAATACATTAGCTACCTTCATTTTTTGTTAAATTATCATATTCTGAGAGAATGGTTGGAATTCTTTAGGCATTCATTTGGCCAATCAGACAGACAATGATTCAGCCATGGACTACAAAGTACATTACAAAGCCTTAATAGAAAGTGTGTTTGTTGTCTTTACCTGCTGCTGCTTGTCACATAGCTTTTCTTCTCCTCCTGACCAGTCTTGGATAATTGCAAGTGACTTGACTTACCTGAAAAATCTTTGATCCAGTACATTGTTGTCTCCTGCAACAGATCAATGTATTTCTTTCAAGTTTTTTACCCCAATACAGTCCAAAGTATAAACAGTCTGTTTTAAAAGAAGAAAGAAACAGAATAGCTGTAAGTCATTAAAAATACAGAGTAAATCAGAATAAACCTGCTTTGCTTGTACCCCATGCTAGGTAAATTTTAATTCTCGCCATTCCCAAGCCTGACACTTCTGGCAGACTGTCAACCCTTCCATTTTTTTGGCTGCTCTCATCTTTCTTCACTTTAACTCCCCACCTCTTCTGCTTATTAAGTTTGTTTGATGTACCTGGCTCTGTTCTATCTGTGATAACCCCCTAATGTCTTTGAGAAAGATAAATTACAAATTATCTTCTCATTTATGTGTTTTGCTTGTCTTGCCTTTTTTTTTTTTTCAGGTCACCAGCCTTCAGTAAACATGTTTAAGTTCTCCTTTGTAGATTTTCTGCATGTTAATTGACAATACAGATCCACCATCCTTGGCTTTCAACTCAAGTTTCAGTAGCATCATTCTTTAGGCAGTTGTTTATTACTGACATTTTTTCCTAATTTTTATCAGCTTCCTCTTGAGTGTCCCTTTTCCTAGCCAAAGGACTAGCAAGATGGCAAACATACCTTGCAGAGACATAACTCAGAGTCCAGTAACCCTAAACAGAACAAGGAGGAGCAGAATAAAGTTTTTACTAATTACTTATTGCCATTAGATTTATTTGTTGTTGTTTACTAAGTATTTGTTTAAAATGCAAGTTCAGGTAAATAGTTTTATTTTATGCTTTATGAACCATTAAAGAATTAAGGTAAACATGCCACTTATAGCTGTACTTGTTATAGAACTTTCTCTGTAAGCCCAGCAGCTGTGCAAGCCTCAGCATATAACCTCAGCAGTATCTTTTACTGTAAACACATTCTATGCATAAATGGCAAAAGATAACTAAATACATGCTCTCTATTTTCTTTTTCTTTTTTTAATCAGGCATTAAAGCTGTATTTTCTGGACATTACCATAGGAATGCTGGAGGGTCCTACAAAGGCCTGCAAATGGTGGTTTCATCAGCAATAGGATGTCAGCTGGGAGAAGATACCCACGGACTTCGAGTGGTTGTTGTCACAGATGAAAAGATTGTTCATAAATACTACAGTTTAAATGAACTGGGCAGCAAAGGCATAGAGAGAGAACTGCTAGATATGCTTGCAAACCAAAAGTAGACTATGCCAAATTATGTGTTTTTTCCTCCATGTTAGACAAATAGGAGTTTCAATTAGAAATTACACAGGTTTTTTCAGTTAGAAAATTTACACTTTCAATTAGAAATTAAGACAGTTTCAGAAAGTTTCCCCAAACTGAAGATAGATATGTCTGTGCAGCAGACCAGCTCTCACTTTATCATCATCCTAATTAACAAGGAATTGTTGCTGTATTTCTCCTTTTGCAAAGGAGACCTATGAGGAATATGGAAGACAGTAATGTTTCCTTGAAAAGAGCTGCTCTGAGAATTGTTACTTTCCTCCTGGATAAGCATTTTGTATTAGAGAGAAAGTGTATCGAAGAACAAGAGTTGTAACTTCTAGATAACCCTTTAGCTCATGTCTATTTTATTTTTATATTTGAGAGATTATTTAATAATCAATAAATCCAGTCATTTCTCTTACTCTAGACAATATAAATGGGGCATTTTTTAAGTCTATACAAACACATCTCAAAAACTCTGAAATTAATAGCCTCCCACGGACTTTCATCAACCTTTGGGTAAGATCTTGTTACCTAGAGGTCATGTTTTCTCCAATTTCCCAACTTTCTTTTCTTAACAGTAATAGGAGAGCAAACACCTTGTGTTTTGCAGTCACAACTTGGGTTTCTCTTATAGCCTAGTCTTTATATAATTAAAAGTCTATAAATATAATAATAACATTATTGATAAAAATAAGATTATCTTTATGCCACTGACAGACACTAGACATGGAATGACTACTTTTGAAACTTAACTACCATTCAGATAGTGCATGTTTTCACTATGGCTTCAGAAGTTGGAATAACTGCATGGGGAGAATACTCTGTACAGAATACTGTTATCTGAAGTCATTGTATTGATTCCTAGACAAAACTTTCATTTCCAAATACAATTTAACAGTGCCTTGTTAAAAGCCCTAAAAATTTTATTTTCCTCACTGGAATAATTATTTAAAAATAAATTACATAAAAGATGTCTATGTGCTGCAATCCACCTTTCTTGTGTGTATCTGATTTGCTTAATGTTAAATAAATGCAAAGTCTTAATGTAATTAACACCTACCTGTTTTTATTTTTTAGGTATCTAGTTGAACAATTTATAATCAATGCCACAGGTTATCTAGAGTGCAGCTTTAGCCCCTCAAGAGGGAAGACCACAACCAATACTGGCTGAAAAAGTAATGCATTCTGTCCATGTCTATGTGTACTCCCAGCATCAAGTCCTGGAGGATGTTCCAGGTGCATAAATACAGTGAGAGAGGAAATGCTGCCAAGGGTCGGTTTCATTACACTTTAGTCACAACAGTTTATCTAGGAGTCTCCATCAAGCTTGATTGGTGGGGCTGGTGAGATTGTAAAATTACCTCTGTAGCACTTCCTTGCACTAGTGGAACAGCTGGACTGGCCCAGATATGGAGTGCTGTCCCATGGCACAGCCTAAGCACAGGTAATGCTCCAATCGGAAAGAAATAACATTATTTTGGCTTTTATTCTCCACCTGGTTTCACTTAGTTGACCATTTCCACAGTCTCATTTTCAAGGGACCATCTGGGAAATAAAAACTAAAATCTAAGGCTAGATTACTTGGAAATAGATAGGTGTCTAAGTAGCCAAATGGCCATTTCATTGGAACTTAAGCACCCATTAGTTCAGGTACTGGTTTTAAAAATCTCTGTACTTAAATGTCTTTTAAGTTTACATCGTAAGACTAAAGTTGGGTAGAAAAACCTGAGATAATCTGATACACTCTCTCTACTCCAGCACAGAATTGTAAAGATAAATGTAGGACAAGTTTGATCAGTTTTTTTTTGTTTAATATGCCTGGTTATTAAAGGATGTAATTTTTAACTAAATAGATGAAGCTTGGGGGAGCTCAAAGCATAACTTTGGCAGAAAAATCATTCCATGAAAATGCTAGTAGTTAGTGTTGTATATAATGTTCTAAAATTTTGCTTTCAATTAAAGTGTACTAATAAAATAAGTATTAATATACTAATATATAAGTATATCCCAAATTCTACCTTTATTTAGTGATCTCTAAGAATACTGTGTTATGTTCATTAAAATATTACCAAATTTGTCTTCAGTTTGGAGTTTTATAAGATAGTAAAGTCAGGCTGCTGCTTTTTTGATTAAAGGCCTTTTTGTCCTTTGAAGGATTCTGGGAGCCAACAGCAGTGCTGTGCAGCTCCACGTGCTGCAGGCTCTTGCCTAGCTTTCTGTCTCACCAGCTGTGAGGACATAATCACTATGTAGGATACTTTCCATTACTGTCTACTGAACTAGATGTTAGAGTAAAAAAACCCAGATATATTCCTAAAGACTTGATGACAAATGAGATTAACCTCAATGGATGAAGAAGAAAAAAAAATAAAAATAGTATCTGAGTTTTACATTTGAAACATGAAAAAACATTTATTTTCGTTCTCACCTTGCAAGCTTTCAAAAGGAAGAAAACTAAAATGGCAGAGGAGCAAGTTGTGTAACTGTTAACTCTGTAGCCTGGATGACACCCTGATGAACATACCTTCAGCTGCAATGAGGCAATGGCTGCTCTGCTACTTGGATATATTTATTTATTTAGCCTCTAATTTATTTCAGTGAATTAAGAATTTTCTGCACTAGCCTGAAATAGAAAAAAGGGATCCAGCAGTTCATCAGTTGTTTATTTTCCTAGTGCCTTAGTTTGACAAGCCTGGTCTAAGTTAGCAAGCATGTTAAAGGTTTCTGGCATCCTAACATGTAAGATAGTAGGAAAAAAAAACACAATCTATTTCCCTTGCCACGCACATTGTTTCAAAACATTTCTTATTTTGAGTGATAACTCAGAACTTCTGCCCAATTTCTAATTAATATGAAGTGATGCAATTATGTATAACTCAGATGAAAACATCGTTTACATAATTCAATCATGGGAAGGATTTTTAACCATAGTGTGTTGCTGGACATTATAAACCAACGCATTAAAAAATAAGCACGTGCTTTTTTTACCAGTGTAAATGACAATTTTGTTTGATCATTTTCCTTAGCTTAAGTACCTACTTTATAATTAATACTGATGCCTTAGCTAATTTGAAATGGCAGAGGTCCTTGTGGTCACAGTGCCTCATCTTGTTTATGTAAAGAAAAGTAATTTATATTATGAAAAAAATCCACCCATGGAGACACATTATTATTTAAGAAACTATTTTTTATGTTGAGGAAATAATTTTTTTATCTCCAGCAGGGCTGATAATTACAACTTGTGTCAGCCTATGACTGACTTTAAAAGTTCAAACTGCTGATGAAACAAAGAACAAGTCAGGCCTCATGCATTTCTATGGACTTGAGGCTTTGGGTGGAGAGGTGGGGGGGAAATAAAAAAAAAATCAAGTGATCCCCGCAATTAATTTTGGTTTCCTGTGGGCAGCTAAAAGGCTCCAATAACCTCTGAAGAATCTAATTAAATGTGGAAAATTCATATTAGAACACCAAAGCAACCCATTAAAGTAACCAAATACTACATAATTAAATACAATCTGAGGTGAAGATGTATGAACAGGAAGTAAATTACTAATAAAACATCTTTGAATCAATCTTGGTTTGTCAGTCTGAGTGTAAGCAACAAACTTAAGAACACATTTCTGAATGTTTCCAAGAATGTCATTAAGCCTTGAATATAACACACTGTGTACTACTTACCTTTCGTTCATTTTGATCCAGTATCTCATCTTGCAACTACTAAAGGCACTAGATAGACCTACAGAATTCAACTTCTGGAGATTAGAGGCAGCAAATGAACATGTGATGTCTCGTAAAATCTTCATAACATTATTTACTGGAAATGGGCAGTGGCAGAAGTGAAGTCTCTTGCCATTACTATTTGCAGACCAAATGTCCTGTTGTCACCCTTGCTTCAGCGACTGTTTCTTACCCTCAGCACAGCAGCTTGTTTTCTTGTTTCCTAGAGTTTGTTTTTTCCAGACATTATCCTGAGGTAACTTTTTATTCTGCTATTAGAACAAACAGAGACCCAGCTAACATAAGCAAATATACCAATAATTAAAACCTAAACATTTCACTGCTTAGAAATGCACAGTTCTATGTCATGGTCCAAGCCAGTGCAGGCTAACATGTCATTGTCTCAGCTAATGGTAATGTTCCAAATAAGCATCTTAATGTTCCCATTAAGCCTCCTTTGCAACCAGTATTTGAACACAGCAACATCCCTTAAAGCAAGGGAACTAGAGACATATGCATTAGTTATCAAAGCTTGCCTGCCAAGCAAACCCCAACATTACCTATTGCTTCATGATAAACAGTCACCACATAGAAATGCCAGTTTGCCTAAGAAAAATTGTGAAGAGGCAATGTCCAGGTCACTATCATTCTACATTTATTAGGGACTTCTTTCTCTTACTCTATGCTGGCTTACAAGATGTCACCTCACCTGGCAGCATGTACAGACAAAGCCAGGTGCTTTAGGCTGCCAGCACCACAGTTGCCATACTACCAAAATAGCACCCAGCAACAGGGCAAGTTGCTTAGGCAAATATGATCCATCTACTCAAAACAGCTAATGCAGGAATCCTCTTATGGCCAGGCATGTAAGGCCCAAGATGTGAATCTGTTGGAACAGCTCCAGTCATCCAGAAGACAAGCAGCCACGTGGCAGCATCCACATCCACTGCATGTAAGTTTATTTCAGTGGCAGCTAGAAAGGACAATGGATGCTGTGAGCTTCACACAGCTGACAGCAGACTGACTTACAAGAAGGACTAAAACAATTAAAGATTTGTAGGGCTTTTTTGTGATATCTGTTTTAGTGATCAAAATTATTTGCTCTTATTAGAGTTATACAGAGTCATAAGTACTTTGAACCCATTCCAATCCTATTCTCCTCAATATAAATCATAGAATCATAGAATCCTAGGGGTTGGAAGGGACCTCAAAAGATCATCTAGTCCAACCCCCCTGCCAGAGCAGGGTCATCTAGAGCACATCACACAGGAACACATCCCGGTGGGTTTTGAATGTCTCCAGTG